TATGGGATGTCATCCTTCCCATTGACAAAAAACAATTTCAAGATGGTTATTGCACCACCAACCAGATCACTATTTCCCCATGTTTCATGGTTGGTAAAACACCCATGACCGGCCCATGACCATCCCCAACTTGCCACCAACTTTGAAATCGATGTTTCCCATTAAAACTGAATTACCCTCTGGTAAACTAACATAGCAATGGAAAATCACCATTTTTTATGGGAAAATCCACTATAAATGGCCATTTTCAATAGCTATGTTAAATTACCAGAGGGTATTTGAAAAAGGCCACCAGGGCCACCAGCTCTACTATTGCGAGACCGGTTGATTTTCACAACTTAGTCACTCGAGGCCGACCAAACACACATAAAAACACCAAACACCAAACACCAGATCACTCCTGGCCAGCCACATGTGGAGTTGAGGCCCTTTTCTAGGGGATAAAATGCGGCATCCTTTGTTAAATTGGGGATTATATATGATTATATATATCATTATTCATGAACTGGGGATTCCTATACTAAATAACCAGCAGTTCATGGGGTGTCAACCACTACTTATTTGCAAATAGAACGCCCATCAGTGTACTTGTCTCCCTTCTGTCTTCATGTCTCTCAGCAGAGCATTTTAAAATTCCACCTACATAGACCCCAACAAAAATCAAACAGAAGTGGTTGTTTCCCCATAGCAGTGAGAAACGCTAAAGAACAAATAGTTTGGAAATTCGGAACCCACCATTGATATCTAGTTGTTTAGGGTTCCAGGCATACATAAGGCACACAAGGTGAAACTGGTTCCCCGAAAAAGGTATCACTCTGAAAGAACAGGACAGTCGAATCAACTAAAGGGCGGTGCTGAAAATGGTAGCTGTAATAGCATACATCCATTGACAATACCAATTTTCATTGGTTAACATGGCGGATTATACTGACGTGTTCATTGGGGATTATGATTGATAATTAATGATAATTAAAAATCGGTACCGTAATAGCCATTTACCAACCAGTATAGTGGATTAGTTAGGGGTATGTTTCATGGCTCATAGCTAGGCATCCACGGGGAACCCTCAATGGATCTACAACATATGTTGATCGGAAGATTTAGAGAAAACCCATGGTGGTTTGGAAGCCCTGAAAGATAGGGCGTTTTGAACCGGAAGTTTTCCATCCCATTTTTTGCAGGCAACGCCAACGCCGGCCTTGTAAACCTGAATGCGCTTCTGTTGGGCCTCCGAAAAGGATTTTGGCGGCTGGTTATGGCTGTATTTTTTGGAGGGCTCTGGTTCCAGTCATGGTCTCGTCCCCTCAACCATGGTTTCTGGGGGGTGTTTCGTATTAGGAATTATTAGGGGGGAAGTGATTGATGATTAGTAACCTGGAGGATTCCTTCTCCATGATGGGGAATCTCAACTAAAATCTAGCAGATGACCGGGGGTCGAGCCCTGAACTGCCTTTGTTCGCACAGATGTCAACAGATTCTCCAGATTTTTCCTGGCAAAACTTGGGTGGGTCCTTGGGACCTCTCAAGACTTAGTTGTTTTTTATTATTTTTTTGTTCTTAGAGCGGCTTTCACCCGATTTCTTGGGACACATGAAATTTCTTGGGACAGCAAGCTGGCTGCGAGGTCGGCTGCCGGTCTGAGCGGCTGCCAGTAGAACGCCAGTCCCAAGGGATTCCCCAGGGGGGAGGAAATGTTGTGAGAAGATGCCATGAAGATGGTCCCCTTTGGTGAAGAAAAAACGCCACCGTTTGGTCGTTTGGTTGCTGCTTTTGATGTAAAACGAAAAACCCTTTGGCGAGACGGGGACAGCAAACTCAATCAAACTCAATCATCATGAGCGCGTGCAGCGGTCGCGTGGCAGACTGGCCTGCCACCGAATCATGGCTTCAATTCGATGGGGTTGGTCACAGGCATACGTCATGGCACATCGCATGGCACATCGCGACTGGCACATCGCATGGATGGTTTTTTTTCATGATTACGGATGAGAGTCAAAGCGAATGATGATCCCGACATGACCCGATTTTCTATCTATTCTGTTCATGTTCCCGGTGCTCAACATGCCTTGTGCTCCAATCTGTAAGACCAGGCGAACACGCCTGACACCAGCAGTTGTGTTGCTAGTCAACTTTCAACTGCTGCAGAGACCGAAATGTCCTCTGCGACACAAGAAGTGTTTCCAAAATTGTCAGCTCCATGCAGAGAGACTGGCGATTTGCGATTGTGCTTTTCACAACTGTTTGTCCCATTCACAAAAACACATCCACAACCAGAGTTTGACCTCCCAGATCGCCCTTCAGTTGAGCGGTTCATCGTTGCTGTATCTGTCCATATCTGTCCATATCGAGCCATCTGTCCTAAGCTTGTCGCATCGCCGTCAATCTGCCGAGAACTGAACCTGGTTCGCTCTGCGTGTCTGGGCCGATGAGAAAATTTTGAAGGCTGTCAGACATTCTGCGATCCGCATGGCGAATCTGCATCCGCCACGAAGCCTGGGATTGCTGCACAGGACTTCGACTGCACCCAGGGTCCAAAATGGAAGTTGGGATTGAAAAAGCACCGAAAGCATCTTGTAGATGCTTTATCAGAAGAAAAACCTTGTGAGATATCTTAATGAAGAATCTTAAGTAGGTTTTATAGATAGGACCTGGATATAGTATGAAAGCATACAGTGTAACCAAAAGAGAATGGAAAAAATGACAGTCGTGACATTTTTCGGCACCAACTTCGACTGTTGAAATCTTTCCGCCATCCCAAAGTCGATCGCCTGGAATTGCGGTTGCGCTGCTGGCCAGTCAGTGATGCGCTCGCAAGTTCATGGCTGCGAGTGGAGTTTCTGCTCCGCAGGTGTTGAATACGAGAACCAGCTTTACCCTGAACATGTCATTTTCACTCACATGTCATTTGCGTTTTATCTTAAATGGATTCCACAGTTCTGAAGACAGAGGGTTGTGTACCACGGGTCACAAGATTCGCGGGACAACATTTGGCTGCTTCAACACCACCTAGTTTCCCCAGATGAAGGGCCTTCACCCTGACTCCATCTGAATATGTTTGTGTGAGTTGAAGTCAGTGAGGCTTGACAGATACCGGGATGAACATGGATGAAGCTGACACTTTCTGTCCAAAGACACTTCAACCACGCAAACGCTATAAGCTCAAATGCTTACGTTTCCGAAGCGCTATCATCAGGTAGTCAGATTTGCAGGCAGTTCAAAAGATGCAGCAAGCGTCAACATACAGCTTCAGTGCTTATTTCATCTTATTTCCCACAAACCAGCTGCAGAGAGTATATTGCTAAACCGGATGTTTTGGATGAATGGCATGGCATGCAGGTCTGACTTAAAATTTGAGACTGGCTTCTCTTGACTTTCGGACAGCTCGGTTTGCAAGTAGCGTGCACGGTCACGCCTGTCTTGCACACAAGTGCTGCGGCTGTCGGTAACTCAAATCTCAGGTCTATTGGATCGGATTGTTGGCACCCCTTGGTTTGTTTATATGGAGATGTCATGAGATGTCCTAAAATGGGGGTACCCCTAAATCAATCATTCTAATTTTGATAGGATTTTTCATTAATTATAAACCATCTATTTTGGGGATCCCCCATTTTGGAGGATTTTTGGTTGATTTCGGGGCCTTTTGGGGTCCCGTTGTTGTTACTGTAACAACTTGAGACTTTTGAGGGAATCGCACGTTCCGCAAGCTTGGCCGAGAGAGCTCCAGAAATCTGTCCGTGTTCCTGTCGGGTAGCCGGGTCGTTGCTCCACTATAAGGGGCTCCACTGTCGACAGTGTGTACAGAGTGCGCCCTGCACGGAGACAGGTTCTCTGATGATTTTCTATGCTTTTTGTACTGATGATTTAAACCTAATTATAGCAGCCCCCAAAGATGTAGAAAAGTCATGAAAAGTCAATTATCATTTATTGAAGAATTGTTGAAGTAGGACGTTGTTTTTCTATCTTTTGTGGCTGCCCCTTTGCGATTTCTGACTGAAGTTTTTCTGGCAACATCAAAGTTTCTGGCCCACCATGTAGGCTTTCCAAGGGCATTCTGGTGCCGACCGCTCCGTCCATAACTAACTTGCCTCCGTGCGCCTGCCTGTGCTAAACTATCAGCAGCTTTGGCTGCCTTCAAAGCCAAGTTTCGTGGCTTTGAAATCCACAGCTCCACAGCTTTTCTCTGTGGCTCAGTTTCTGTAGCTCTCCATTGAGTGTCTGAGAGCGGCACCAAGCCCTTCTGGTGGCACTGGACACTCCAACTGTGCTATCGAAGAATCTGGTCTGGAAAAATCTTGAAAAATCTGCTTTCTGCTTTCGGCTTGGATGTGTCGGTGTAAGCAGTACACTTGGCTTGTGTGCCATCTGAGTTCTCGCTTTCTCACACTTACAGTGCTCTATTCAAGCGTTTCAGTGGCTGGGAGCCAACTCTCACCGGGAAACGGTGATCACAGATGTTCAGCTGCTACCTCCACAGGCTTTCCGGATGGGTTGAACCATCGATGTTTGTGCTGTTTCGTCCTGTTCTTTCCCTGTTTTTTTCCATGTTTTTGTTCCGTTTCCAGGACCAGGACCCGGCAGAGGGGGACAGTTCACAATCCAAGTCCCCAGCTCCAGGCGCCACCGTCCCCTCTGGTTTGGCCGAAGCGTTGTGGCTCCACTGGCCATGGCTTCACGTTACAGCCGCCAGGGCATGGACAAAGAGGGAACAGCTGCTATCTGGGGCTGGGGGAGTTTGGGACACTGGGATGTTCCAAGCTGGAGCCCAGCAAATTATTACTGGTTGGTGGTTTGGAACATTTTTTATTTTTCCATATATTGATTATATATGATTATATTAGGAATAAGAATCCCAACTGACTAATATTTTCAGAGGGGTGGCTCAACCACCAACCAGACTATTTCGTCTTCACTTTCCGCATTTTCCACAACATTCAGACCCCATTATCCGCATTGGTTCCAGAAGTTTTCGCCGATAGCTTCGGCATTCGCTCCACCGCCAGGAGCGAATGCGAAAAGAGGTGGAGGAAGAACTTCGACGCGAGGAGGTTGGATCCCAAACGATCCTAAGAAAAGGGATGAAAGGATATGAAATAAGTAGAATGATTATTTAATTTAATATTTAATTCGTTATAATTCATATTTCAGTATATCATAGTATACCTTCATCCTGATATAGCTTATCCTAGAACGGCACTGGGCATTTTTTGGCCCGGTTGGATCCATTGGGATCATCCAAGGTTTCGTGGCAGGTTTTTAAAGGCCGATATGCTGGGATATGCTGGGCTTAACTTCAGGGGATCAGTTTCAGACATCTGGTTTTTACACGGGTTTTTCGATGGTAAATTCTCCTACCCCCAATTTTTGTGCCTGCGAAAAAAAATTCAGGGCTTGGAGACCCCGAGAGGTCTGCAATAGACAAGCAGCATCACCATACGCAATAGCTTCAAAAGAAACTGGCTTTGACTGAAGTCTTCAACTCCACCCACGGGACACAGGATCAAAGATGGACGAATACATCCTACATGTGCCATTCTCAAGTTAGATGAGCTATTTTTTGCGTTATTTAGCTATTTTCTCATAACCCATAGGATCCATGTATGCTATATATGGTAACATTTACCATCAATATACCCCCAATGTTAGCATATATACCATACATGGATCCTATGGGTAAGAGAAGATGGTCACGGAAAACTGTACAGTAGGGGTTAAGGTCTAAATATGTTTTGAACATCCCATTCATGGGCTTCGAAGATCCACTGTAAACCCAATGACCGCTATATCCTGTGTAATATTATAGTTATATATCCAAGGATATTACATTACGATAGTGAGGTATCCCGGTACATCCGAGTATATCCCACTATCACATATATATACATGTACAATATATACAATATATATACACTATATATATATGTACAATATATACAATATATATATATACAATATGTATTTATATATATATATACATTATATATATACATTATATATATACAATATACATATATACAATATATATATACAATATATATATATACAATATATATGTATACAATATATATATATACAATATATATATATACAATATATATATATATATACACTATATATATTATAATTATATATAGTTATATATAATTATATATAATTATATATAACTATATATAATTATATATAATTATATATAATTATATATACTATACATACACTATATATATACAATATATATATATATGTATATATATATATGTACTACACGTATACATATACAATATATATACATACATACATACATACGTACGTACGTACGTACATACATACGTACGTACGTACGTACATACATACATACATAGATACATACATACATACATACATAGATACATACATACATACATACATACATACATACATACATACATACATACATAATATAGCATCCCTGCTTGGTCTATAGATGATTTACCTATTAAAAGAAGTGGTGATTTTCTATGGCAATGTTAAATTACCAGAGGGTATTCCGAATATTCCCATTAAGTCACCCATTTAATCCCATTCAATCACTCATTAAATCACCATTTTCCCATGTTTCATGGTTGGCAACCCCTGACCATCCCCCCAACTTGCCGCCACCACAGCGCAGTGCGGTTTCGTGCAAGGCGCGGCGTTGTGGCCCTGGCCGACGGCCGAAGTGGCGCTTGGGGTCCTTGCGTCAGGCGGGTGGTACCATGAAAACACGGCTGGTTTACGACATTGCTTTACCAACATTATACATCACGATATATCAAGATCTGTAAGATCTGCGAATTTAAGATTGCTATTGAACATGGCCATGTAGTTTGTACGAATGAAAATGGCCATGGTGCTTCTCCCTATGTCAGTTTACCGGTACCCAGATGGGATGCACGTACGTCCATGGCTTAGCCTCTGGTGATGACTAACAGTTTGCTATTGAAGCCATTGCCATAGTTCATTTAGCCTCTAAAAGATGGTGATTTTCCATAGGGGCAACATGCTGTTACAGGTGGTTCTTCAGTATGCACACCAGAATAGAAAGATGGAACCCCACAATCATTTGGGGATGAATTTCTTACGGAATGGGTCAAAATTGAGATACCAACGGACGCACAAAATTCATCCATTTTTTGAGGGTGAACACTTTTTACCCATATCCCCTCTGACAAATTAACATAGATGACATACATAGATGTGGAAGGAAATCCATCATTTTTTCCCTAGGAAAATGGTATATATATATATATACAAATGGTGGATTTTCAATACATTTCAATAACATGTTGTTGTGCCATCCGCAGGCTGATGGTTCCGATCGCCCCGATGACATTCGACCTGGATGACAAAAATCACAACTTGCGGCGGGCGTTTCATGCTAGACATTGGACCCATTTTTGATGTTTCTTTTGGGATAGGAACTTTCTTTTGGTGGCTATCTTGCCATTTGGCGGCCCCTTGCCACATTCTGTGGGAACTTCATATCACGCAAGAACTTGGATGATTTCGTTCGGCATTCCTTCAGTCATTCGGTTCCCCAAAACTCTCAATGGGATTAGTGAACTACTATAATATGGACAACTCTGGAAAACCATCGAGTGAATTGGGGCTATCACTAGTGAGAAGGGTATTAACATATAGTAATTACTATTTTCATCTATTTTCCATATGGAAAACCATGTGTCTTTACGAGTCCTAGTGCCGCATTTTGACCAAAACCCCCCAGCTGAACGCAACTTGGGCCAAACCTGGGGCGATTTTGTGGCTCAAAACCTGGTGCATTTTTCCAGTGACGTGGTGACTTTTGGCATGGGAGAACTTGATTTAAACTTAAAAAGGAGTGGGAAAATCATGAAAGGCGCAGCTTTGGTCTTCCGATACTTTGCTGAAACACATTTTTAGTAAAACAGATGAGCCAACGAATGCCGTTTAGTGCCCTGTGCGCTGTGGACAAGGTTCGGCACGGTTCCGAATATGGTCCTCATGTCGACAAAGAGGTGCCCCTGGTAAACTAACTGACATAATATGGGAAATGGCCATGTATATACCGTACTTCCCTATTAAAAACGATGATTTTCCATAGCTATCTTATATAGTTTACCAGAGGGTAACAACTCGTCGAGATTTTGCTTCCTCAGGGTATCCTTGGGCCCTCTGATTGGTATGGATTAATTAATGGGGAAAGCCATTGGGAAACCCCAACATGATCTAGACTCATAGTTGGTTTTCCACCATTTTTTTGGAGGGTAGGTCTCAACAGTTGTGGAATTGTCCCCGGGTGGTGTTAACATGTTTTAAATGTCATGTCGAGGCTTAGGATAGCACAAAAAACATGCGACTGGCAATTATCGGAATATCTACAGTACTTGTTCTTCATTTTGTGAAGTACCATCTAGCTCCTCCACTTTTGTTTGCTGATTGGGGTGAGGCTGATGATGTTCTTTTCATGATGACTATAGATGAGGACCATGATGATTACCTCACCAATACCTCACCATGATGATGCACGGTCCTGGAGGATCTCTGCCACCAGTCTTCCAACATTCCTATCGTGGCCATCGTGGCCATCGTAACTCCCCAAATCCTCAGATTGAACAGTCGGAAGCTAGCGGCGAGCTTCCGGCTATTTTGAGATATAGCTAGGATCAACTACGAGTATTTAGATAACTTCAGAAACAAATTCTTCAACACCTTTCTAGGGATCTCCCTATAGCCACCCCCCGAACAACCAGAAATACATGGTGACTTCATGTGACTTCCCCATTTCCTCAGGATTCTTCATCACCACAGGGTGAATCACAACCGCTATTTCGGGGCATCAGAGGTGGAATGGCCGAAGAGGAGTTCCGTGGTGTTTGCCGCGAGGCCAGAGACCCGGCCGTTAAAAGCTGCTTGGTGGTGACTGGAACATCCATTGATGGTTAATTATGATTAATAGTGCTCAATAAATGATGGTTAATGATAGTTAATGAGATACTGGTTGGTGGTTTGGAACATTTTTTATTTTTCCATTCAGTTGGGAATTTCATCATCCCAACTGGCTTTCACTCCATCATTTTTCAGAGGGGTAGGGCTCAAAACCACCAACCAGATGGGCATTTCCATAAATGGGGAGCCCCAAAATTTGGTGAGTTTTTTTTTCATGGAAAATCTATGAAAATCTTACTAAAATGGATGATTTTAAGGATCATTCAACGCATCCATTTGAAGGATCCCAAACTCCAGGCCATCATGGCCAACCTCAACAGCTCGCGGCCCGTCAACCTGGAGGCGGTTTCAACATGTTTCAACAGAGGTTCTGATGTTTTACGGATGTTTTACGGATGTTTTACGGATTTTTTACGGATGTTTTCCGGATATTTAATTTATGGATATATTTATGGATGTTTGTGGATGTTTATCGATGTTTATGGATGCATATGGTTCATGGTTTATGGTGGTGATGCTGTTGCTGCTGCTCTTCCGCCGACCTTCCGAACGTGAGGATTTGGAGGGCGAGATCTGTGCGATGGAGCTGAGCAACATGTCGGCAAGATGGGAATGAACTGGGGATGGATCAACCTATGACTATATGACTGATATGACTGGGGGAATAAACTGAATAAACATCCATAATTCCCAGCTGTTTTAGGGTACCTAGGGTCCCCGGCTTTTTGACTCATACGCAACTGGAGTTCATATAACATGTAACGTGTAGCAATCGGATATGATATTTAACTGACCCCAAAAAAGTACTTGCTGGGACAATTGAACTGGTAGTTCAGTCTGCTATTGTTTGGCCATAAATGCACCAAAACAGGGCATCACGTACCACTATATACAAGGTACAGTACAATCATCCACTGTTTACATGATTAGGTGTAAATCAGAGCAAAGAATGGACCACAACTGGTGCAATCATCACCTGGCTTGTCTGATGCCAGGTGAGAAGTCTGATTTAAAAATGATTGGTGTATCTAAATTTAGACTTTTTAGATCATTTTTTAGAAGTGCCCTCCAGTATCTTAGATGCAAAATCTACACCAAAGATACACCAATTTAAATCCAATTAATGCAGTATCTAAGAAGTGCCCTCCGGTAGCCATTGGCCAATGGCAAGAGGAAACTTCCCCATATTTAGTTGGATGATTTGCCACCCATTACCCTCTGGTAATTTAACATAGCTATTGAAAATTGCCCATGAAAATAGTTGATTTACCTATTAAAAATGGTGATTTTCGATAGTTATGTTAGTTTACCAGAGGGTAAAACCTCCATTTGTAGGGGACTTCCCATTGTAATCTTTGATTAAAACATTGTAAAAGCCATTCGGCAACGATTGCCTTGCACTGAGCAGAAATATAGAACCTGAAACTGAAGTGAAGTGTGGCCGGTCCAACCATGCAGCGTAGTTGTGGCTTGTCCTGTTGGTTTAAGACGACTATTAACTATGATTATACTATGTTTATGAATGACTATATGCAGTGTTCTGACCCCGTGCATCACTTGCCCCTCAGTTTCAACCGTTTTGAGTTTCCAAAGTACCTGGGATGACGATGATTCATTGATGTTCATGCCTTGCGGCTTGTGAGCGGCCAACTACTTGGGGCATCCCATTGATTCCCATTTGGGTAATAGCCATCTTAGTTCACCAAGTTCTGTATCGAAATAAGATCCCCGATTTGATCCCAACGCCCCAATGAATCACCAATCTTTTTGTGGGTCATCTATGGCTTCTTGACCATGTTACGATGCCTGGGAATGCCTGGGATGCACCCAGTCATGGGGTGAGGTTCCGAAACTAAACGGCAGATCTTGGAGGACGAGAAACGTCCCTTGGCAACTGACTCGAACAAAGGAATCTGTTTTTTTTTGGATGGTACTTGGATTATTCATGATTATTCTATAAGGATATAGTGCACAACAAGTCAGTGCCAATGGTTCTTAGGCTTCTTCACGAAAGGTAGCCTAGGCTACCTGAGTTCTATGTACTTTAGTACTAGTTTAGTACTGGGGGAGGTGGGTGGTCCTTTCCCGGAAATTGAGAGCCGAGAGTCACGAACGGAGACTTAGGGGGGGGGGGCCCGTACGTTCGACACTTGGAGGCTATATCGCAAGCCAAGAGGCTATGGATCAATACTAATCAAAAGGCATCGAAGAAAACCACAGGCGCAAAATGGACGCAACTGATTCCGCATGCTTCAGGCTTCAGGACATATAATAGGCTTCCCAGAAAGACATGCCGATGCAGCCGCTGGAGCCGATGAGGCCGATGAGGCCGATGAGGCCGATGGAGCCGATGAGGCCGATGAGGCCGATGGAGCCGCTGGAGCCGATGGAGCCGATGAGGCCGATGAGGCCGATGAGGCCGATGAGGCCGATGAGGCCGATGAGGCCGCTGAAGCCGATGAGGCCGATGGAGCCGATGAGGCCGATGAGGCCGCTGAGGTCGCTGAGGCCGATGCAGCCCCTGGAGCCGATGAGGCCGATGAGGCCGATGGAGCCGATGAGACCGATGAGGCCGATGAGGCCGATGAGGCCGATGGAGCCGCTGGAGCCGATGGAGCCGATGAGGCCGATGAGGCCAATGAGGCCGATGAGGCCGATGAGGCCGCTGAGGCCGATGAGGCCGCTGAAGCCGATGAGGCCGATGGAGCCGATGAGGCCGATGAGGCCGCTGAGGTCGCTGAGGCCGATGAGGCCGATGGAGCCGATGAGGCCGATGAGGCCGATGAGGCCGATGAGGCCGATGGAGCCGATGAGGCCGATGAGGCCGATGAGGCCGATGAGGCCGATGAGGCCGATGAGCCGCTGGAGCCGATGGAGCCGCTGGAGCCGATGAGGCCGATGAGGCCGATGAGGCCGATGAGGCCGATGAGGCCGATGAGGCTGATGAGGCCGATGAGGCCGATGGAGCCGATGAGGCCGATGAGGCCGATGGAGCCGATGAGGCCGATGAGGCCGATGAGGCCGATGAGGCCGATGAGGCCGATGGAGCCGATGAGGCCGATGAGGCCGATGGAGCCGATGAGGCCGATGGAGCCGATGAGGCCGCTGGAGCCGATGAGGCCGATGAGGCCGATGGAGGCACTGCGGCCGATGAGGCCGATGAGGCCGATGGAGCCGATGTGGCCGATGAGGCCGATGAGGCCGATGAGGCCGATGAACCGATGGAGCCGATGAGGCCGATGAGGCGATGAGGCCGATGCGGCCGATGAGGCCGATGAGGCCGATGAGGCCGATGAGGCCGATGAGGCCGATGGAGCCGCTGGAGCCGATGGAGCCGCTGGAGCCGATGAGGCCGATGAGGCCGATGAGGCCGATGAGGCCGATGAGGCCGATGAGGCCGATGAGCCGATGGAGCCGATGGCC